CTGGAAGAGAAATTTTGTTCCCTGTACCGTGTTGAGCACTGAGTGTATGCTAAGGTGGAAAAGGCGGCCTTCACCCAGTGTCTTTAACTTTTGTTCTTATTTCTCATCCCTTAGAGCAATTCACAGAAAGTGGGGCCCAGGGGCCAGTAGCTGCATCCACCCACACAGCTCAGAAGCTAGCTAGAAATGCAAATGTGACTAAATTAGCAGCTCAGGGGGTGAGGTCCAGACCTGTGTTTTAACAAACCCTCTAGGTGATGCCAATGAAGTTTGAGACGCCTATCTGAACCCCCTTGGGCCATAGATACAGTGTAAATCCCCATCATTGACCCTCTGATGTGGAGTATGCGTGCAGTACACACCTCTGAGGATGCTACAGTGTAGTCTGAACCTGTGGCATGCAGAAAGAGATGAAGATTGTTGGGGGCCGCAGCAGCATCCCCATCATCTTACTTAAAAGTTTCCCTGCTTTTTCAATCACATAATCCACCACTGAGGATGTTGGGACAGTATTTTAAACCTGCTGAAGAGTACAAGGCACATCTCTGAAACAGACCAGACATGGGACAGAGTGCTGAGGCTTAGACAACTCTCCTTCTGGACCCCTCCAGGGACCTGCAAGACTGTTAGGCCTGTGGGCCCCCACCTCTGGTGCAAGGAAACCTGCAAGGCTGGTGAGGGCACTGTCAACACAAAATTCATATGTAGGGTGGCAACCAGGTGCAGGGCAGGCAGAGGGGCCAGGAGGCCGAGAGGCTGGTAGGCCTCCCAGCCCCTGTGAGTCTGTATGCTCTTTGGGCTCTCTCTGGCGTTCTCTTGCTCTCCCTCTCACAGCCGTTCCGCCGTCGCTCCTTTCTGCCGCCCTTACAGCTTCAGCCTCCAGGCTCGGTGTGCACATTCATGCATGCCCACACCATACTCCATGTGTCCACCATCAGGCACGTGGGCAGGACCACAGGTGCCGGTCATAGATGTTAGTGGCAGGAGGGTGGAAAAAGCCTGATAACGTCCATTTACCCTACGACATACCGGTGCCAATCAAGCGGAAGCGGGTGGTGTGGAAGGCATTTCACACAGTTAACAAAAAACTCCTAAGCCTAGCTCCCCTACCCTTTGTGTTCTTCTAGCACCCTGAATAAGGCCTGGCCTACGTGTTGAAGTTGATGGTTCTGTGTGGGTTTCCTGTGTGTGAGAGAGACAGACAGAGACAGAGGGAGTTGCCAGTTTGCTTGCTCAGGGTTGAATACCAGTTACCTTCCCCGTGCCCCTCATTTGTCCGCAGCGGAGACTCACACAGCCTCTTCTGTTTGATTCACATAGAACCGTGAGAAACAGCCCTGTATGCGAGGCCGTGTTTTTCATTCTATTCAGTCATTGTATATTCAAATTCTTCCAGTTTCAGCTCTTGTTGTTCTGCCAGATTTCCATCGCACTGATGGCTTCTCTGAATTAATAAGTGTTTTGCAATCGCTGAAAAGTTTTCTCCCCCCAAGCACTGAGACTTATCCATATTGATTTTCTCTTTCTTTCTCTTGCCTCTCATCACTACTTCTTAGATATTTTATTTTGTAAAGTGTTAATAGAATTTTTCTTTCTCCCTGACACTTTATCTATTCAGGGCGTCTTTGCAAGTCCCATTGTAGGACGGGACTGGAGAGGAAAGAGCGCTATTCTCTACCACAATGGCTGCCCTAAAAAGCAGCCACGGACCCTCCCCCTGGCTCGCCAGGGTGGAACAAATGCTGGGGGGGCATCAGAAAACATTCAGTCTTCGGAAGGAAAGAAGGGCCAATTACGCACTGTTGAAAGGGGGGCTTGGAAATACTTTTTTTTTTTTTTTTTCAATTCAAAATATTTATTTCCTAAGGGGATCTGAGTTTCAGTTCCAAAACATGGTCAACACAGAAGGGAGGCTGTTTTTCTTACTGTTAGGCATTTTCAGCTCAAAATAAGGACTTGGCAGATATCTTAGAAAATATGGAGATAGGTGTGAAACAGATGTCACATTTACCTGCACGATACCCAGCAGGCCTCACCCCCACCCACCCGCACCCCAGGCACTGGAATTCTAATTGAGGCCTGGGTCTGAGTCTGCGATACCATATGCTCAAGTGTGACTACTCTGTGTGCAAACAAACCAGTTGATCTTCTGGTGGTTTTGCTCGAGTGGTGCTTGCAAGGCAGACGGCTGGGCTGTGTAATGCCCTCAGCAGGTGCCTGGGGGACTTGTCAAGCCTGCCTGGCTAGAAAGGGGTCTGGTGAAGGCGCCCCCATCTCCAAACTAGCATTACTTACTCCCGTCAGCCTGGTGCCCAGGAGGAGCAGTCACCGCGCAAGGCCATTTTCCTCCCAGTCACTGACTTCAGAAATGGGGACCAGAAGGGGAAGGCCCCAGGAGTCTGTTTGTTCAGGCTCGGTTGCTTAGCAACAAAAGGGGGCCCTGACTCCAGAAGGGAATTTTAAGCTAGGCCAGAACCTTCTAGGTTTGTGTCTGGCTGGCCTACCCCCTTCTTCCGTTCTTACCTTGACTTTCTTTACTCCCTATTATATTTGATAGCATTTAGAAAAAATAGATTTGTCAGTAGGCACCATTTTAAACCCCGGTTTATTGCTTCTCCCTGTGTCCTCCCCTCTATCAGAGATTGTAGTCTGGGAGGAGAGAGGAATGAAGATTCCTTTTTTCAGCTGGCTTAGCTCAGGCCCCAAACTCATTTGTGCGCCTTTGAGCTCAAATGAACAGTGCCGGTCCTTCCCAACCTCATACACACACTGAAATTGCTCCAAGCTCCAGCTAACAGTCTTGTCTGCCCGCAGCTATGTGGGTTGGGTTGTATTTTTACTGCCAACCTTGGACACAAATGAAACGAAGAGACCAGGCTGTTCACCTGGCCTACCCAGGTGAGACACTCATTGGTTAGGACAGACACATGTAGCCAAAAGCTGTGCGTTTTGTGCAACAGAGAATTAGGTCATAAATAAAAGAGTGGAATCTGAGACCAGGTCTATTTCACTAAGTGTGAGCTTCTTGAGAGCTACATGGTTAGAGTGTGAATCCTGATATCTTGCTGCAAGAAGTATCCAGAAGGGTTTCAGGATGCATGGGAGGGCTGGGGAAGGGATCAGGAAAACAGACCATGTCTTTGGTATCTTCTTCTGTTTGATGTATTTGAAAAGACTCTAGCATCAGTGGATTTGCCTACACAGGCTGCTATAACAAATTACCACACACTGAGTGGCTTGAACAACAGAAATTTATTTCCTCACAGTTCTGGGAGGCTGAAGTTCGAGATTAAGGCAGAATTGGTTTCTTCAGAAACCCTTCTCCTTGGTTTGCAGACGATAACCTTCCTGTGTCCTCAAGTGGTCTCTTTTCTATACCTGACTATGTCCAGATTTCTTCTCCTTAGAAAGGCATGGGTTATGCTGGATCATGGCCTCATTTTAACCTAATTACCTCTTAAGAGACTCTGAGAGGCCTCCCTGGTGGCATAAGGGTTAAATCTCAGCACTGTCACCACCGTTGCAGCCTGAGTTTGATCCTTGGCCAGGGAACTAATGCACATGGTACAGCAGACTTCTCCTGTCTCACCCGCTGTTCCCCTCAGCAGTGTAATTCAGTAGATCTGCCTGTTTTGCTCCCCACTCTGTCTCTGGTGAATCCTTTCATCTACCCTCCCACACCTCTGGCCTGTACCCCAGTTCTTCTATAAATAAATCTTAAAAAGAAAGCGAGAAAGAGACTTATCTCCAAATATGCTCACAGTCTGAGATATTAGGGAGTAGGACTAAACATATGCCTTGTGGGGAGGAGACACAGTTCCACCCATAGCCATAATGTTAGTTTCATTGTTTGTAACTGGAAACAATATCCATTACAAGGATAATTAAGTAAGCCATAGCTTCTCCATGAAATATGGAGGAACAGTCAAGATAGCATTTGCCATATCTTACATGCATTAGATCACTGTTATCAAAATCAGGAAATGGTGTTAGCCAGGATATGGAGAACTTAGAAGCCTTGTCCCACTGTCGGTAGCAATGTAAAATAGCACAGCTGTTGTGGAAAACAAGTATGGTAGTGCCTCAGAAAATTCAAAATAAAATTATCATATGACCCAGCAATTTATATACCCAAAGGAATTATAAGCAGGGTATCAAAGAGATATTTATATCCATGTTCATAGTAGCATTATTCACAATGGTCAAAACCCAGCGTCCATTGATAGACAAATTGATAAGCAAAACACAGGGTAAAGATAAACAGTGGAATATTATTCAGCCTTAAAAAGGAACAAGTCCTGATACAGCCACAACATGGGTGAACCTTGAAGACATCACGCTAAATGAAACAGGCTAGTCACAAAAAGACAAACACATGCCATTCTGCTTACATTGAAGTGCGCAGAACGGTCAAAGCAGAGACAGAAAACTGAATGGTGGTTGCCAGAGACTGAGCGGGGATGGAGTACGGGGATTTATTTTGCAGGTAGAGTTTCCATTTTATAAGATAAAAAGAGGTACAAATGAATGGTGGAGATAGTAATGAACACTATGGATATACTTAAATGGTTAAGCTGATTTTTTTTTTACATGATGTATATGTATTTTACCACAAACTTTAAAAATTGGGGAGAAATGGTAGTATTCATCTAATAACTGGGAATCATTTGCAGTATTGTAATGTTGCCCAAAACGTTGAAAAATAAAGAATGGGGGGAGTTCCATATACAATATAACTTAAGTTATATGGAAATTTATTCAAAATATATTAAACTAGGCGTAAAGTTTTTTTTAAAGGAAAAACTGGATGGAAATACACCACATTAACTATGGTTGTGCTGGGTGAAAAGTGATTTGGGGCTTTCTGCTTTTTTTGTATTTTCAAATAGTTTTAAATAAGCATCCATGACTTCTATAATGGAAACTACCACCAAATAGATAAGAGTTTTAAATATCATGTCACAGTTCCTAAAGCAGTCTCTATCCTGTTTGTTTTGCAGGTGGAGGATGCAATGCTGATGTTTGATAAGACGACCAACAGGCACAGAGGTAAGACCCCAGTTTAAGAAGGTTATCCATTCATCCTCTCCTGGCTTTCATCCCTTCTTAGCCGTCAGTCCCACAAGTAAAAGATACAGTGACTGCTCCAGGATGAAGCAGGCAGAGTTGACCATCTTTTGAAGATATATTAGTGGAGGGCCACAGTTGCACAGAGTCCAGATCCGGGTTAGTTGGGAAGCCATGTCCTTCTACTTGGGGATTTGTACTTGACTCTGCAGCCACGCCCAACATGCCAGATGCACCTTTCCAATCCTGGCTTCCTTAGTCCTTGCTAAACCTCAGCACTAAGTGATCCAAGTGGAAATTATTCATAGCAATTACTCAATTAAGTTCTCAATTTGCATGGAAGGAGGTGATTTAGAAACAGACTGTCAATCTAAAGGACCCCAGAACAAAACAAAAAGCACAAGCCTTGTAGATTTATCCCTGTGCACTCTGATTACAGCCGTGGGAACGCCCTGTGGCCTCCCGAGTGTGTGGAAGGCATCTCTATTACTGGTGTGTTCTGTACTCCTACCCCGCCCATGTTTTAGAAAATGGGTCTCAAGTTGGGGCTCCATGAATCCCTGAAATGACACACAAAATGCTTTATGTCTGCACTTTTCTTGGAAGAGAACCCTGAGCTTTGAACAGATTCACAAAGTGTTCTCTGACCCCATCCTCCAAAAAAAGAACACATTCAAGTTACTACTTTAAATAGAAAATTGGATGAATCTGGAAAACCGTCCCCAGAGGAAGCAAAGATTATGGTTTAGCGTTCCACTCTCCTGTTCTCCGGAAGCTCCTGGTTTCTGGGGTTACTATTAACAGGGTGTTAATGAGCAAAGCTTCCAAAATGGGTGGCAGGAAGCAGCATTCTTGAGAGACGGAGCCGAGTGAGCAGTGTTTCCTTGCCATTTTGGATTGCATTTAGATGTTTCTAGTGTTGTTTACATTCTTGCTGTCACCTGTGATTAGAAGCAGTTACCCATCTGGCTGTACATTCTTCTGCTGCAAGTGGACAACAGGCTGAAAGGGAAGCAGCAGTGGGGCGGGCATGGTTGCTTACAGGGGTGGGGGAGGAGAGGACAGTCCTGAGTGTGCCTGGCCACTGACTTCTGCTTCCATCTGCAGCATACTCAAGAGGGAAAAGGAAGATTAGGTAGAAAACTTGGGCATTCGTGATGTGTATGTTGGGAAGGGATGGGAGGGGTGGAAGCTGAGGGGTGCAGAGATGAGAGAGAAAAGGTGTAGGATGATTTGCCTTTGTCCTCTCTATTGCTCTGGAGTCGCAACCCAGAGAGGGAGAGGAAGGTGTCACCGGTGAGGGGCAGTCAGAATTGTCCTCCATCACTATCCAAATTTGTCCATCTTTTTGGCTTTCCAAGTGCTGCTTGCAATAGCATCGTCTAACTAGTTCTTCACAGCAGCCCCCTGGAGGGTTGTTGTGACTTTGGGGAAATTGTCTAACTTCCTTATGCCTGCATGGCAGATGTCCCAGGGAGGGCAGGTTCATGGTTGATTCGGGCAAATGGATGAAGGATCATGGAGCCATAAGTCTTTAATGGGTCTTTAATGCTGAGGCGGGGGACAGGACGCATAGGCACAACAACAGGTAGGGGGGCAAGGAGGCAACAACAGAGCCTCCCAGCCCCCACGATCTCCATGATCCCTCTCTGACTTCTCTCTCTCCTTTGTAAAACTCTTTGGCCCAGGCTTCCGCACTTACAGGTACATGCGCCCCATGCTCTCGGTGTCTGCAATCATAGCACGCGTGCTCCTTGCTCACGCTCCTTGGTGTGCATGCCTCGTGCCTGTGCTCCCAAGCACTTTTTGTAACAACACGTTACCATGTGTGGGCAACAAAACCTAGCGGGAAAACAAGGCCGCAGGTGGCAGCCATCATGACCAGCGGCGGGAAGACGAAATAGCCTGATTTAACCCATTTTCCTTGCAAGTCCTCAAATGATTCTTCTATGAAATGTGGATGATAACAGTACCCCTTCCCAAAGAGATTATCTGGGGAGGGGCGTGCCGACCACATGGTCTGCTTTGCAACATTTCCTCTTATCATCATCACCATCACCTCCCTTGTGCCTCTGAGGTAGCCAAAGCTCAGAGGGCAGACACTCCCCTGTGGTCAGAGCAGGAAGGAGCCCCAGGACTGCCAGTTACGGTTACAAATTCTGCTTTCCCTCTGTTGTCTCTGCAGAGGGCAGGCGGGTTTGTTAAGAAGAGTGTTTTCAGCTAGCTGCTTGTCTGCAGGGTGGGCGAGGCCCCTCTGGAGTGGCACTGTGCTCAGTGTTAGGACTGGTAACCCAGGAAGGTTCCTGAGCGGCTCCAGGCAGTGTTTGTCACTCTCTTTTGAATATCAATGAATAAAGGTGTTTTGATCTCTTGCTCTGTGTCAGGCCCTGCGCTGGAGGAGATGATAATTCATCTCCTTTTACTCTCACAGCTACGCGGGCCAGTGACTCAGTGTCAGATCACTCAGCTAGTCAGCGACAGAGGTGGATTCAGGCTAGGGACTTCGGGCTCCCTGGGCACAGTCCCAGAGGAGGCACCAGAATAAGTTCTCCCCTGTTTCTAACCCAGATGCCTCTGACTATGTGTGAAGCCTCTTTCTGAAGGCACAGGGTGCAGTGATGGGGTAGGCCATGCCTCTGTGACTGGGCAAGGGAGATGTTTCCCTTCTACAACCCAGTGCTTGGGATGGCTTCAGGGACATCATTTCTCACAACCCACATCGGAGCTTTTTGTAAGCATTAGCAGGAAGGAGTGGGGCAGAGTCCCTGGTGCATGCCGGGTCCTGCCCCCAGCCAAGGCAAGGCCTGCTCAAGCATCCTTTTGCCTTCCAGAGTTAAGACGCCTGTGGTGGATGCAGGCCCACTGACATAATTCCTGGAGCCAGGACAAGATGACATGCAGGGTCTCTTATTCTCATTATTAAAGACTATCAAGATGACAGCAGAGCATTCAACCACAAGCGGAGCCTTACTGAGCGTGGGGCCGTGTGCACAGGTCACCCGCCCAGGAAGGCTCCTGCGTGGATGCAGGCTGCTGGGGCTGAAAAGATGCAGGAGAGGCGTACCAGGGAGGTTCAGCCTCCCTTTTCCTGTCCAAAACTCTGCTTCCCTTGTGCTTTCTGTGGAGCTTGGTGGGAGCCCGACCTGTATACACTTCCCCATTCCTCTGAACAACCAAGAAGGAGTTTCTTTTTGAACTGGGTGCAAAAGCTGGGCTAAAACTTTAGTGATTCAGAGCAGTTGGGGGAGGAAAGAATTAAAAAAAAAAAACCTGTCACAATAGACGCTCAGATCATATATGTGGAGCAAATGGGCCCACATCCTTGGCCTGTGGAATGTGCGTTTGGAGTCAGGTGATAAGCACAAGAAAATCAAATCCTCCTGCAGCCACCTAGCCTCAACCTTACCTTCACCTCCTCAGCTTCCTGTTTTCCATTATCTTATCAAGAGGAAAATGCTGCAGTGGCAGAAGTTGAGGACACCTCTGTGGCTGGCACTGCCTCCAGCTTTCTTCTCAAAGAGGCTCAGACTATTAACCCCTCAGTTGCCACAGCCCTTGCTCAGCAATTCTCAAACTTCTAACCAGGCTCCACCCGGCTGCCTGGGGCATTACCTGTCCTCAATCCCAGGTTTTGGCTGGGCTCCCAGACACAACATGCTATCATGGGTTCTGCTAATGAGACCCTGGTTAACACTTTCAATAGAAACAGCCACAATTTCTATACCAAGTATCCTATATGTATGTGCATGCACTGTCAAATCTTTATGGCAAGTAGTTATGGGTCAACCATGCTTCCCAGTGTCCATGCTAGTCAGAACTGAACTTGGACGCACACCCAGCCTGTCTGACCCAGAGCATATGCCCTCTTGCTGGACTATTGTGCACATTTATTTCCAGATGGGGAAACTGAGGCATGTCGAGTTTGGGAATACTGCAGGGCAGGTTCCCACCGCCAGGCAGGAGCTGAGATGCCAGTAGAGCTGGTGTCTTCCTTGACCCCACCCATCCCCTCATTTGGTGACCTGCCATGAGATTATTTGTGCCCAAGGTCAGAGAGAGAGAGAGTAGCAGTGTTCCAGTTTGTTTTAGTCATTTCATTTGCTCTCTGAAAGTTGTTCCAGGTGGTCTGAAAAATATTGGACTGATCGTCAAAGGATTTAATCATTGGGGGAAAGTTTGTTGTAGGTTCTTGCAAAACTCAGATAAGATCTTAAATTCAGCATTCGGTATTGATCCCAGAGGGGCTGGCAGGGAGGAGGAGGGCAGGAAGAGACAAGGGCCCAGGAAGGGAGGACGTAAGGGAGGAGCTCTCTTCCCTCTCTCCTTCCACTTCAGTCCCAAGAAAAAGTGGAATGTGGAGATATTGTTGCTGAAATACATCTCATGCTCCCCTCCTTAGGGGGTGAGGTAGGCTCCCAAAGCCTTTCCCAGGGGAACCTCAGCTATCTCTCCCTCTCACTCCAGGGCTCTAGGATCATGAACCCTGCCCTGCTGGTCCTCCCAAGTCTGGCCCCTCAGGGGAGAGTTGGGCGGTTGGGGGCCCAGTGGAAAATGAGCTGTCTTTGAAGCTTATTGGATTCCCCCAGCAAGGGTCAGCTGGGGAGGGAATGACTTTTGGCAGAGGAGACTTGGAGGCACGCCTTCTCACTCCCGGTGGCTTCCATTACGCAGCAGGCCTGTTTGCTCCAGAACATGGCTAGAGGCGAAGGGACAGGATAGACTGAGAGCAAAATGCAGATCAGGGTGATGGATGAGTCCTCTCTCAATGGTTAGCAGTCGCTTATTAAGTGTAAAGTTAATGACTTTGGAGAGGAACCACAGCTCTGAGACACTTGCCGGCCCGCAGCAGGGCCCCTTCGCTGTACTGACCTCGACTTCCAGTGGTTTTGTGAACCTCAGAAGCACCGTTGCTGACCCCTGGACAGAGAGGGCCCTTTCCCCGGGTGACTGTGGTCTGTGCACCGAGGTGGGTGCCTGCGGCC